TTTGCCGACGTTGAGGGGGAAAAAGTCTATCTCACGTCAGAATGAGCCTAAGGGAAACCGCGTATGTGGGCGGTGGCGAAGGAGGCAAATGATGTACAAGTGTTTTACAAGATAAAACCCGTTTATTTGTTCGAATTCATGCTTACATCGATAATGGACAATTTCAAAATCTCGGTGCTCCTGGGAACGGCGAAAGTTCGTGTGATCGGTCGCAGTTCGGGCGGACGAGAAGGATATCTGGACGAAGCAGAATAGTTCGTTGTTACGTTGCGGCCTCCTCGGTGATCGGCGGATGCACAACACAATCTAAATCACCACTGTAGGCTTAATCCGGAGGAGACACTCTTTCGACCTTGAAGTTCCGATTTTTATAGTTTNAGAAGGATATCTGGACGAAGCAGAATAGTTCGTTGTTACGTTGCGGCCTCCTCGGTGATCGGCGGATGCACAACACAATCTAAATCACCACTGTAGGCTTAATCCGGAGAAGACACTCTTTCGACCTTGAAGTTCCGATTTTTATAGTTTTTTTCCCACTGTTCGCATTTCGGATTGGTCCCTCGTCCCATTCCTCGCTTCCCGATTGGTCTTTCACAATGTTACAAACATTATTGCATAAAGCAATACATTTTAATTTCAAAATACACGCAAGCCATTTGGATTTTTAAATTAATTAAGTAGCTGGAGTTAAGATGTAGGTTGGCGGGGTCTTACTGTATTTAGAACATTTTACTCCATTTGTATGCAGTTTTTGTAATTTGTGATTGTAATCAGGGCCAGATTAACTACTCTGGAGCCCTAGACATTTTCTTCTTACCGGGCTCCCTCCCACATCTATATCTACTGAATATATCTATATCTATATCTATATTATATATATAAAAATGAACATGTATGTCCCTATATCTCACTTTTTCGCCAAAACTACACATCGCACGTGAATGGTATTTGTATGTGGTAGTAGCCCCAAGTCTCCATTCGTGCATATGGGTGGTTTCGTCTCGATAGCTATAAGGTTGCGGGAGATATGAGGCTAAAAGTGGTTGAAAGTGGCTTTCTATTTCGAATGTTTTGTTCGATTTTTTCGAATTTGTTCGAATTAAATTCTTAGATAAAATTCGAATTGGTTCGATTATAGAACGATTGAAAACGTTCCAGAAACGTTGAAATTTGTTCGTTTGACTAAACGTAAAAATTCTCTAATTAGTCTGGAAACGGGGGACCTAATTCTTGCATTATGTGAAAACGGGTAAGCTATAATGTAATTATCTTAATCTTCACTATCGTTACTTTTTGCCCAGCGAAGCGAGTCCTTGCAGCTAGATTCTAGATTACTTAGAAAAACAGTCTTTTATATATATAAAAAAAACTATATTACATAAAAATAAAAACCCAGCGAAGCGGGTCCTTGCAGCTAGTAAGAACATAAAAACACATTTTCTTTAGATTCTAGAATTTACAATAACCATATAAAAAGCAATATATTTTTGTTTATTTGTTTCTTATATACAGTTGTCCAACAGAAAAGTAAACTATCTTACTCTACTTACAAATTCTTTCAAAATAGACAGTTTAATCGGGCCCTAGACATTTGTCTCATTTGTCTATGCGATAATCTGGTCCTGATTTTGATGACTTCTTAAAATATTTTCCGTATAAGTTTTAATTATGAAGTGGCCCTCTGATGATAATTTATGAATTTGAAACCTTATTCAGTTTCTTAAAATTTCTCTCCAGCGATTTTCCAAGAAAGATTACTGCTATATTTCAGGGATCTGGATCAACAAATAGATTTTCCTTCAGTAATAAAGAAAATGAGAAATGCAATTGAAGGGCGTTCTTAAAATTTGCTCTGTGACCAATGCAATCAATTCGTTCGGCTGATTGATTTGTCAACGCACATCATGATTAAATAAATGCTACATCGCCAATAAATTCGCTTTTACGAATGGGCTCTATACGTAATCTATACTAATATATAAAGAGGTAATGTTTGTATGTATGTAAGTTTCGTTGCAGCAGGTAATCTCCGAAACTACTCATTCGATTTCAAAAATTCTTTCACCAATATTAAAAATGGAACCTCAGGGTGGACATAGGCAGTATATTATTCCGTTAAACATTCATATAAATTAAAAGATATCATCTATGGTTAAGGCTTTTATGTCCAACAGATGGCGCTACGAGTACGACGCCCTAAGTTTGCTTTTCTGCGAGGCATTACGCTTTTCTGTGAAAATGAACTAAAGCGGATCATCATCTATCTATTTATATAAATAAAAATGTAATGTTCGTTTGTTCCTACCAATTCCTTTGAAATTTTGACACAACGCTGCATTCGAATGCGCACGTGTTTTTATATCATATACGTGTCGAAATTTCCCGCACTGGGGGGAGATGGACAGGATTAAGGCTTACAGTAAAGAACTCTGCTTCTATTTATACTATTTAAGATGCGGTTTTTTGCGTTTTTGATTGCGTTTTAATAGGGTACGTCAAGAGAACGTACACTAAGAAGAAATTTTTCGTAAAATTCCCCTTCCACAGGGAAAGTGTTATACATTTATAATAGATACATTTTGAGCCACAACAACGCGTGGCGGGGTCTGCTAGTGGACGATAAAGGAAGAGCATGGTGATGATCTCTATCTTTGTTAAGATTGGATTTGCATCCGAATTGCCGCGACGATAGGTTAATACTTTAATTAATTATTAACATGTCTTCTTTGATTTGTGATTGGACGGCTTAATGTTGAGGAACAGAGCTAGCTATAGTCGGAGCAGGTTGATTACCAAAGTTTTCAGAAGAGTCGACACGAACACGATTTCTCAGAACGGCAGGCAAGCAAATTTCTTTTCGGCTTTGATCTCCTCGATCATTTTGTCGTCTTCTTTTTGAGCATAGAAGATAGTTAAAAACGATTAAATGTAATTATTGCCACAAAAACTCTAGAGATTCGACATACTGGAGAGTTTGCGGCCGAAGTTTTCATCTCTAAACATGAACGTCGAACGTCGAGCGCCTCTATCTCGTAAAGTGACGCCGTTCAACGTTCGACGTTCACGTTTTAGAGATGAAAACTTCTGCCGCAACTTTGCTATTTTTAGCTTTATCGTAATACATCGATTTTATTTTATTCAATTCTATTGACTTTAATTGTTCAAAAATAATTCGTAAAATAGTTTAAAAAGTTTTTTAAATGTCATTTTTTTATTTTTATTTTATTAAGAAAACATAAATTTGTGAAAAAAAATTAACAAATTACATTAATAAATTATGAATTATATTTTAGACATTAGAGGGCGTTTTATTGTAATTTGTTACCACGTGTTTTAGATTTATTCAAGATGGAAGACGATGAGATTGTCATGAGTTCCGGTGATGAATCGGAAGAAATGGGTAATGAAGATGGAAATTGTAATTTGAATAATGAATTAGAAACATATCTTCCCGGAAAAACTGTTGATGATGATGATGATTTGGAATACGATGAAACGGCTTATGTGCTGTACCATCACGCTCAGACAGGTAAGTTTCAAAGCATAGTAATTATAAGTAAATATAATCATAAGGCTACATTGATTATGTCAAAAAATAAATAATCTTCCGTGATTATTAAATTACTATTTTCAGAGTAAAGTGACGTTGTTAAACAATATCAATTCTAAAATCAGAATGATTTCTTCGTCGAAACTAAGAATTAGCTAACTTCTATGATTTCAATCATTGGCAATTATAACCGAGACGGTTTACGGTAAGATTGCAGATTTGAATGAGTGTTTGGACCTGAACAGAGCTGTAAACCATATCCATAGGAGCAAAAGTCAAAGGAACCATACCTTTACGCAGGGGTGGCCAACAGTTTTTGCCCCCAGGCCGAATTGGAAAGAAAACTTTTTCCACGGGCCGAACCAGAGGCTGGCCTAGGAAGATTTTGAGGTGGTGTGAGATCTCATTGTGGTATCACCCCGTAGAGACTGAATTGTAGATAGAGATTACAGATACATTATTCACATTATATGCTTTATCAACACTCTATGCTGTACTTACAAGATTTGTAATGGAGGGTTAACTCTAAACATGCAGTGAGTTGTTGATCTGTTTTTTTTTTTATCTTTTCTATAGGTGTCAGAATTTTTCATCAAGCTATTTGGATTTCAGTACCTAATATTAAAAGATTGATCGCGGGCCACATAAATTCATTAGACAGGCCGGATCTGACCTGTGGTCCGTATGTTGGCCACGCCTGCTTTTGTGTGTGACTCTTGCAAGCTATTCATCCTTCTATTAATGATGACTGGAACTGCCACCACTGTGGAATTCCAATGGTGGCAGTTCCAGTCATCATCTTGCTTGCTGACATCACGTTTGCATGTAGCACTGGATGCCATAATGGCAACCAGTGCCAATAACAAATAATAAATGCAGTAACTTCTGACTGAAAACAGTTTTTATCTTGAATTAGTACTACTGCCTATTCTCCATGCTTAATGTTGGTTGAGTGACTTCTTTACATGTAATTGTGTGCTTTGGTCTCACACATCAGCATCCAGCTGGGGTGATCCACCACTACATTAAGTGGTTGCTTCAGGTTTTAACATTTAGAAATCAAATGTCTAAATAGAATACTATGTCTAAATGAAAGTACAGGTATTCATGTGGAAGATGTTATTCATATATTCCAGCTCACCACATAGCAAATTGATGTATTGATAATTTATTATTATAATTAATCTTCTAAAATATTATTTATGTTAATATAAATTTGTCATTCATTAATTGAAACTTTTATGATTATAGTAGTTTAACTATTTTTATTTATAAATTTTTTAGGTGCTCCATGTTTGAGCTTTGATATTATTAAAGACAGTCTTGGTGACAATCGAGCTGATGCATTTCCACTAACAGCATATTTAGCTGCTGGTACACAAGCCCAAAGATTACACACAAATAATGTCATAGTTATGAAAATGAGCAATTTACATAGAATAAAAATTAAAAAGAATACTTTGGAGGATGAAAGTGATAGTGAAAGTGATGAAGAATGTGAAGATGATAAGCCAGAACTTGAATGTGCAATGATTCCTCATCAAGGATGTGTAAATAGGATTAGGGTGAGAAATTAATTTTTGTTGTTAAATTTGTATTTACAAACATTTGTATATAATGTATTGCAAAATAACCAAATATTTTCTTGCATAATTGCACTGCTGTCAACAGCTGCATACCTTAGAGGTATGAAGGAGTACATGTCAGGAGTTGCAATTTGGCACAGAGTATTTGGTGTCCAAATCATGTGCACTTAAAATATACCAGACTTGTTGGTAGTCAGGGGACCGAGATCCGGGTAAAAAAAAATAAGAAATGCTGAGACTGTTTCTACAAACAGGCATGAGTGCGAGATTTGCGAATGTGTTGCTTGCACTCTCTGAGACATAGTCTTGTCCTGAAAATGGCTTTGCTGTTTTACTTGTTTTTTTTTTATAAAAGTATTATTTACCATTTTAATGTTTAGATTTATAATATAATGACTAAAATTGATGTAAATATGAGAATCATAATAAAAAAAGCATTATACAGTCAAAACAGTATATAGTGAAAACCTGTCATTAATTAATGGAAAATTTCTTCAGTTTCTTGAATTTTATGCAATAATTAATGTGAGTTAACTTGTATATAGCAGAACCTGTCTAATGCAGAAATGGAAAGTCGGGCAGTATAATGGAAAAATTGGTGTCTTTATCCAATTTAACACAAATTTAACAAGAAGTTTACAAGTCTAGCATGTATAAATTATAAAAAATAAAAAAATACACATACTCAATACAGCATTGCAAAATACGACTACTGTATTACAGTAATTTTATCTGGATTTGAATGGAAATTTTTTGGGTATTTTTATTAACAGCTGTTTTTACTTAACATAAATATGTGATGTAATTATATCAGGTCAGTCCATAAGTTCGTGCACATTTTTATCTACAAAAAAAGCAACAAAAAATTTTAACTAAATTTTATTTCAATCTATAATGTATTCACCATTATTTTGTACAATTTCTTGCCATCTTGATGGTAGCTTTTTAATCCCGTCTTTGTAAAATGATTTCGGTTTTGAATCAAAATATTCAGAAATAGCCTTTTTTACATTGTTCTCATCCTCAAAAGTTTTTCCTTTTAAAAAATTCTGCAAACTCCGAAAAAGATGATAATCACTGGGAGCAATATCTGGCAAATATGGTGGATGAGGTAAAATTTCCCAGTTGAAGCTTTTGAGTTGAGCAGTTGACGTTGTTGTCAGTTAGCTATTGACAGTTCATGTGGTATCCATTTTCCTAGCTTTGAAACTTTTCCGATTTGTTGTAGATGTTTATGAACAGTTCCATGGGATGAATTTAAACGTTCCGCAAATTCATCAACTGTTAAAGATGGTTCTGCTTTAACTAGTGCAGAGAGAGAGCATTATCATCAAAGTCAGTGGGTCTTCCAGTACGAGCCTTATCCTCCACACTAAAATCATTATTTCTAAATCTTTCAAACCACTTCTGCGCAGTCTTTACACTTATTACAGTTTGATTATGAACAGTATTTAATTTTTTGGCTGCATTTGTAGCATTCTCATCACTTAAAAATAAAAAGTATAAAACATGTCTCTTATATTCATCTGTTACTTCCATTTTAACGAAAATAAACAACTGAAATGTTCCCAATTCTAAACGTATTATATGAATGAGATCCAATTTAACACTTCAGTGTAAAAAGTATTACATTAGACTGGCATTTTTAACAGCAAAACAAGATTTTTCTCAAGGTCAAAAAATATGCACAACTTATGGACTGACCTGATAAGTTGTGAAATTTACACTTTATTTCTGATGTGAGATTGTATTCTTTGTTTTGAACCTTATTTTAAACTTTTTTACATCATACTTTGTTTGAATAAAATCAAGTTGAAATGTCTGCAGATAAAATGCACATTGGACATATTATGCATGATTTTTAAGTTTTGTAAAGGATATCGCACTTTACAACAGTAAAAAATATTCAAACTGTGCTTGTGGAAAATGCTTCTAAACTCCAAATATGTCAATTGTGGTTTTGAAAGTTTCATTCAAGAAATTTTGAACTAAAGGATACAAAACGTATGGGCCCTCAAAAGCTGTTGAAGAGAAATTGTGGGAAGAAATTGTTAAATATTGACAAATAACAACTCATGAATTTGTAACAAATCTTAATGTGTCGCAGACATGTATTGTTGAAACACTTCATCCCCTTGAAATGGTTGTAAAACATGCTGATGATTGTATTCCACATGCAATTTTTTTTTTTCACTTATGAAGAAAAGAACTGAATTGAGTATAATTTTGTCTGATGAAGGTAGGCAGCTGTAAGGTTTTATTTTTAAACTGGTTACTCATTTTTATCTTTGAGAACTTTTTTACAGAGGAATGAAAAAATTAAAGTTAAAATAAAAATATTTGTTACTAGCAGACCCCACCACGCGTTGTTGTGGCTCAAAATGTATCTATTATAAATTTATAACACTTCCCCCGTGGGGGGGAATTTTTCGAAAAATTTCTTCTTAGTTACATTCTCTTGACATACCCTATTAAAACGCAATCAAAACCGCAAAAACCTGCATCTAAAATAGTATAATAGAAGCCAAGTTCTTCATGGTAAGCCTTAATCCTGTCTCTCTCCCCCACGGGGGGAATATCAAAAAATTTCTTATTAATGTACATTCTGTTGACGTACCCTATTAAAACGCAATCAAAAATGCAAAAACCCGCATCTAAAATAGTACTGTATAAATGGAAGCAGAGTTCTTTATTGTAAGCCTTAATCCTAACCATCTCCCTTCAGTGGGGTTGAATTTCATCATGTATATTATATAAAAACACATGCATATTCGAATGCAGCGTTGTGTCAAAATTTCAAAGGAATCGGTAGGAACAAACGAACATAAAATTTTTATTTATATAAATAGATAGAAGATGATCTGCTTTAGTTCATTTTCACAGAAAAGCATAATGCCTCACAGAAAAGCAAACTTAGGGCATCATACTCGTAGCGCCATCTGTTGGACATAAAAGCCTTAACCATAGATGATATCTTTTAATTTATATGAATGTTTAACGGAATAATATACAGCCTATGTCCACCTTGAAGTTCCATTCTAAATATTGATGAAAGAATTTTTGAAATCGGATGAGTAGTTTCAGAGATTACCTGCTGCATCCAAACTTACATACTTACAAACATTACCTCTTTATAATATTAGTACAGATTAATTGAAAATTTGTTTTAGCAGGTGGTGATTGTTCAGTTGAGTAACAAGGTTCCACTGTATTTGATTAATAAAAATTTTGATATATACGGTACACTTTGAGAAATTTATTAATCACATTAATCAAGGAATATCTAGAGTAGGTAACCTGTATATATTGGAAATCTGTCTACTATGGAAGAGTTGTTTAGTCTCTTTGGGTTCTGTTATAGATAGGTTTGACTGTATATACGAGGGTTATTTTTTTTCAATCTCCACTAACACATGAAAAAATTGGAAGCATATGTGAGACAGGGACAGGGTGCACACCTAGTAAGTAGTATATTCCCTCACCACTTAGCATTGTGCCAAGCTATTTTAGACATTTGCTACTCTACAGTAAATATGTAAACATGATACCACAAATCCAGTCTCCCGCCAATTGTGAAGTATGAGCAGTAATTAGATTTCTACAGACTGAAGGGCTGAATGGAGGTGAAATTCATTGAAGGATGTGTATGGTGAGAACCTTATGAGTTATGGATATGCGTGTGAATGGTGCAGGAAATTCAAAGAAGGACATGACATTGTTTATGATGAGGGTGGTCAAGAGAGGAAGTGTATGATGACCGACGATTTGGTAGACAAAGTGGATCAATTGGTGCAAGAAAAGCATTGGTTTATGATTTCTGAGCTCAATGAGCAGTTTCTTCAAATTTCAAGGTCCACACTATATACTGCTGACTGACAGTGTTAAAGGTTGGCTGAATGGCCTGGTGTCAATGTTCTTTGACACAAGTATACAAAAGCTGGTGTCACAGAATGATGTCTGCCTGAACCGACAAGACAGTTATGTGGAAAAATAGGTGAAGACTGTAACTACCTTCTGCAAATAAAGTGGTTTTGTTTTTCATTCTTGTTTTTTTATTCTGGGTCGACATGGATGTTGGAAAAAATAACCCTCATATAAGCAAAATATTCATTATTGAACATAGCACGTTTTTTAGTTATGCTGACTGCCATTGCTAAGTGACCTTCCTAAATGATCAAATTTTTACTGTTTCTCTTTCCACAACAGCAAAATTTGAAAATTTTCAACTTTATTCTGTTGACATTCCATTTGCTTTAATAGCAAAAGTGATGTCATTTTGCTGTTCTATCTTCTGTTTCCACATGAGTACTAGACTTTAGTAAGAGGCAATTTCACAACAGATTGAGCAAATCAGGACTTCACAAGGATATTTTTGGTTTCACATGTCTTCCATAAGAACAATTTTGGTCAATACAAGTATCTCTATGCAAGTTGCAACTGTGAATTGGTCGTCTATATGGATTTTTAATATTGTACAAAATAAATTATTTCTCCAATTTTTTAACAAGAATGTAATACAGTAGAGTGTCGATTATCTGAATCAATTGGGAACTGAGGTTGTTTGGAAGATCGATGTTTCGGATAACCGATTATGTACAAAAAAATATATTAATTTATCCCATCTTGACATTTTCCTTTGTTGCGTGTCGCTTCGTGTTGAATTTTCGTCGATGTTAAGCCTAACGAAGACTATTGTATCGTTAAAAATTATTTTTTTATTTTGTACGAACAAAATAAATATATTGAAAAATATAAAAACAATAAAAAAATTATGCTTCAGAAGTTAATTTAGTATCAAAAACGTAAAATATTTGAGTAGCCGAAGACATAGCCAAAGATTGCAGTGCCACTGCACTGGGAAAAATTTAAATTTGCCGACTGGAATTCTTTCGGATGATTGACTTTTGGATAATCAACGCTCTACCGTATATACATATTCAATATTTATTAATAAGTCAAATGATTATTGTAGTTAAGTAGTTAAGTAGCCCGATTAAATACAGCAATCATTTGGCTTATTAGAATGTGATGTAATTTATAGACATATTTTTGTATAGTTGTATTGTTTTCAAAGTTTCAATTAGGTTTTACCTAACAGAAACTTTGAAAACAAAAGATCAACTGTGTTTTTGCAAAGAATTTATTGTATGTTTTGATGAAATAGTGAATAAGGTTGTACAGAGAGGTCAAATGGACTTATTTATTTGATGTTTTGATATTATACAAGTAAATCTTCATGACAATTTTAAATTATATGAGCTCAATTCTGATGAAGAAGAAACTAAATTTGTAAAGAGATTAGATGATTTCTATTCTTCTGTTTTGTTCAACAATCTATAAAACTTTGGGAAGTAAAACTGAACTTGATATTTTTTACATGGAAATGAAATCATCAAGAGAAGATTTTCCATAAACAAGTCGTTTCTTGTTTAAAATCTGCATAAAGAAACTACAGTAGCCAAGAGAAAAGTTTACAATGTGATAATAGATGCTGGAGGCAGGAAAGAAATATCAATCACCTACAAGATGTTCTTCCCTGTTAGATCTTCCAGAAAGCAATATGAGGAATTCTTTGAAGAAAAGTGAAGGAAATGTACAGAAGAGAAAGAGTGCTGAGAAAAAGAAAACTCCAATCAGAAATAAAAAATTAGAAGAAAAAAGAAAGAAGTTGAGGTTAAAATTGCAAACTGATGAAAAAATTTCAAAAGAAATAAAAGCCTGGAAAAAAGTAAATTAAAAGTAAAGAGTAAGAAACTTTATAAGAATTGAATATTTTGTTCAGTAATATTGTAATTTCTATTATTAGCAAGTTTAAATATTATATTCTATTATAATGTAATACTTCAAATAAATTTTGTATAACTTTATAACTATTTTCTGTATTTTTGAATATTTTTTTATGTTCATGTAGTCCAATGATTCCCAAACTTTTTTGAACCACTACCCTGTTTATTTCATAAACTTATACCCTGTGCTCCCATCAATACCCTGATGCCCTCAACTGTGACCTATGGTTATCACTCAATACTCTGCTTCCTGCACCCGCTACCATCTACTTGCTTCTTTTCACTCTTCTACATTTATTCACTGCCCACTTTAGGAACCACTGATGTAGTCCTTTATTTTTCTTCAAATTTAATAGTCAAAATAAAAAAAAAGTGAGAGCTAGACAGCTATGGGGATGTTGGAGACTACATTTAAAAATTTTTGCAAATTATATGGTTGGCAGATATTAAAGAGTCAGGAAATGTCAGGAATACAAACATTTGCCAGTATTACAAATGTCTGTATTGACTTCAAAAATTTTGTAGAAACCCTGTTTTCAAAAATTTGATATTTGTTTTGTTTTTGTTAATTCCCTAATTTTTAAAAATAAATTTAACTCAGAAAAGGGGAAAACAGTTTGAAGTCAGGCTAAAAATATAACATTGCATGTAATAAAGTAACTAAACAAAATAAAAGTTTCTACTGGCATAAAGTAAAAAACTATTATAATGAAAAGATTCAAAGAAATAAAGTAGGATACAATTAATGTGATATCAGGTAAGAATAAAAACAGGCTTTTCTCTAGAAATGTTTTATCATTACTGGACTATTTTCTATTACTTTTTCTATCATTATTTTATAAAAACTAATAAATAATAATAATGAATGAATTTTTATTTTGCTGAAACATTAACAAAAATATAAATTGGATTTTAAATATAACTCATTTTACATTCAAATCACTTTTATAATGCAACTTTCCTGTAAAGAGTGAAATCTTATAACTACTACTACAAATTCATACAACATAAAGAACTAAACATCATTGTGTACAGACTGTAGAACATGTAATGATGATAAAAATAAAAATTGTTGATATAATTGAACAATTGATCAAACTGGCATTACTAAAATCTGATGTGATTAATGATATAATCACTCAGATTTTTTTTCTTTTATTAATCATGATCAGTATTTTGTCTTTATTACAACTGTAAGAAAAATCTGCTTCATAGAAACATATTGCAAATGAGCAAATATTTATTGTGATATTGTGTCACAATGGCAGGCTACAATTTGTAATCATATTTTTAATTTATTTAATCTAAAATATATGCTCTCCACCTCAAATTAGTTCTGTAGTGTCTTGCCCTTGTACATCATACTTATCTGTTAGCAATGGAGTTTTGCTGGTCATCTATCTAACTGCTTTCAGGTGAAAATTTTTGAATTGAAATAATGTGACTTCCAGTTTAAATTGAAAGTCTGTATATAGTTAATTGGGGCCTACTGCCCCGAAGCTTCATATATGGTCTCAGTTTTTATCTATGTAACTCAATTTCTTGAGATTAAGGAAAGATGGACAGGTAGACAATAGTAGGAATTTATAGGTCTAAAATTTTTTCAAATTGCAGCCCAATGATGATAAAATTTTCATTATTTAGATAAATTGGAAGACTTAGAAAAGTTTTAGAAATTATACACTAATTTTATCATTATTTTGTCTCCTTTTAAAGAATCTTGCACTCTTTTTGGATCATATTCACAGAGAAATCTTCCAATGTTAATATTGATTGTGCAAATATTAGTTATCTTTAAAATGGCAACAAATTATAAAACAAAACAGTGCATATTTGATTCAAGTCGAACAACCGGAACCATGTTAAATAAAGACTTGAAATGAATGTAAAAATAATGGATTTCTTTTTCCCTAACCTAATATAAGTAGGAGCAAGACTCTAAATCATATACACTTGAAAGTCCATTGTGCACAACATTAACATCAATATTAAATTAGTACATTTCTAAACATTAAAAACTATTCTTATCAATTTAATTATTGTTTATTTATAATAACTCCAAATTAGAAACAATTTTTTGTTTGGAATTTTGAAATTCAAGAAAAAACATAAAAGATACAAGAACATTATTCATCTATGTTTTATTTATTAAAATTTGATGTTTCAACTCTGTTGTTCACCTGAAGATGGATTTTGTGACTTGAAAGTACTTGGGCTAGATCATAACAAATACATACTATAAGGTTGTGATTCCCCTTACTTGCTATTAATATCAAACTTTATTGATTATCAAATTATATTGAATTATTTATTTAATAAAAAATACTGTATAATTTAGTATTGGTTATTATTATTTAGATAAAAATTTGTTACTTTCATTTCTGCAAATTTTTATAGGTTACTTCAATTGGTGAGACACCTATTGCTGCTTCATGGTCAGAAACTGGAAAAGTCTTTATTTGGAATCTTTCTCATCCACTGACTGCTGTTAATAATCATATTGCAATGACAAGTTATGTTAGAAATCGAGAATCTCCAAAACCTATATTTACTTTTCCTGGTCATCAGTCAGAAGGATTTGCTATGGATTGGTCTTCAGTAAAACCAGGTTTGTTAATGATGTATTTACAAATATGTGAAATTAATATATTTTAAAATTGAGACTTTTTTATTTTTTTAAATATTTGTGTTCATTTTTTTTTCATAAACAATTCCCATAAAAATCTTAAAGTCATAACAAAACTTTTTTTATGTTGTATGTGATAACTCAAGGAATATTTTAAGTTTTTATATATTAGTTTGTTACTGTATTATAATAATATATAATATTAACTATTTATTGTTAATAATAATATAATTAGTGTAATCATTTCATAAATAAAAACAAAATAGTTTTGTAAACTTACCTTATTAAGCATATAAAGTTTTATTAGATTATTTTATATTATTATTTTAATAAAAAGGTTTAGATATAATTTCTTATGTCAGAAGCTAGTTAAATGAAATTATAGAAAAATATAAATTTCATTTGATTGTACAAATCAGTCATGAATAACTTGCAGCTCATAAAGTTATGTGTCCCCAGACTTTGGCAACATAATTTTATTTCTTTGTTTTCTGACTCAAACCATTGCATAAGCTTAATTAAGAGTTTGTTGGTACTCAGCAGGCTTAANTATATATATATATATATGAAGTCTTGCATTTTTATTAGTCATGTTTTTTCCATTTGTGGGGGTTAAAAAATCTGTCTAATGTCGATTGCTTTTCTTTTTTCTTCAGGATTTTTCGGAAGTAATTAATAGTATTGTAATTGTAGAGATCCCAAACCCCATTAATCATATTCTGGTTTGGATGCCACATGGATGATCGTTGTTCTGACATTCTCCCACTTCTTCAAAAGATATTTAGTAGCAGATGCCAACATTGGTCTTCTTCCTCTTTTTCAAAAGAAAACACATCTCACTGAGTTTCTTGGTATTCTTCATTTGAGAGTTCTTGGAGTTCTTCTGTCGTCAGATCAGTTTCACGTTCCATTATGAGCTCTAAAATGCTCTTTATTTCTCAGATGTGATTTTCATTACTCCATTAGCAGCTTGAGACTTCTTGATATATCTTTCATAGCTAAGATTGTGCCTACTGTAGACCTGTTCAAGCCATACTGCCTAGCAACATCAGACATCTTGTGCCCACTTTCCACCTTGGCTATTATCTCTTTCTTGGTTTCTACGGTGAGCACAGTTCCTGACACTCCTCTTTTTAGGCTCCATAATATTATCAGTTGCTTTTGTAAATAAAAAGTTCAGAAAAGCACTTACAAAAATTCAGAGAACAGAAATCAACTAGCCCACAGAAAATTATTTAAATGCAAGGCCTGGGTGGAATTTGTTATTTTCTGTCACTTTTATGTTTGTTTACCGATCACCCATTATACTTGAAAACATAACTCATTTCTTTTAAGTGAAAATGAATTAGTTATATTTTTTATTGTTTAATAATAATTTATTTATACTGTTTAAAAATAAGTTTTGCTTCTCATTATTCTAAATTTTTCCTTTTTTAAATAAAAGTAAATATCTTATTCAACTTCACAGAGAAGATATAACACTATTATATTATATATTTATTAAAAAATAGTAATAGATAGTATCTTCCATGTTTGAAAGAAAGTCCATTCTCATTTTAGTTTTTGTTGAATTATATTTTTTTATAATGGTCCAAGTATTTTTTCTTAATTTTATTTATTTTTTTTATACTATATTACTAGATTATTATATATATAGGATTGTCTATAAAGTTTTTTTTTTGTTTGTTTTTTGTCAAGTTTTTGATAAATTACAAATACAGTGGAAACCTGTATATTCATATTTGATATTCATTACATTTTGATGACTTTTTTCCCCATATTCATCAGTATTTTCTGTATTCGTTGTCATTCCCAATACCGACAGTGATGCTAGAATCGCACACCTGCACCAATCAGCACCAGCCATGATAGCTTTATGTTGCCAATTTAGCTAATTTTTTGCTAGGTTTAGTGGATTTATGAACAATCTAGCTACACAAATTACCTAAATTATAATGGTCTAGCTATTTTTATTAAAATGTCTAGCTATAAATTTGAATTTTGAGTTGGCAGCACTATGTCAGCTAGCTGTAGTTAATCAGTCTGCTTTGTGCAGTCATTGTGTATGTTCTTGGTTTATCGTGTTGATTATTTTCAAAAACTCAAGTTCCAATGGCTCTAACAAAGTGCACTGAAGTAAAACAGCAAAAAGAAAAGCTGTTATAACAACAATAGAGATAAAAAAATTATTAAATGGCATTTGGAATGTCATTGGAATAATGCTTGATGTTCCAAATGTCATTTTCAAACTTCTAGGCTTACAAGATGGTGGTACTCAATGTTTGACGTTCACATTTTAGAGATGGAAACTTTGGCCACAACCTCTCTAGTGTTTTTAACTTAACCAAAGAATTTAATATGCCAATATCATAATTGGAATTACCTAATGTTTTAATTTATGGTATGTCTTCTTTTAAATAATAATAACCTTATTCTTCTTCCCCTTCTACTACTATACTGTATTTATTTAGTACAATAAAGATATAAAGTTTTACAAACAACAAAATTTTTATTCTTGTATCTTTTTTAAGGATGGGAATGGATTAATTGAATATCAGTTATTTATTATGAGAAAAATTGTTTCTATATTCATCATTTTCCATTTTGTTAGATCCTTAGGAACAAATTAATGACAAATATAGAGGTTCCACTGTATGTCATTTTAGCATTATTTATTGTTTATTTAATGGAGTAGCATTATAAAAAGTGTATTCGTTATTATTTTCAATTTGAATTAATTGTGCATGTTGATTAAAAGGTACATTATCATCATTGTTTTCACTTTTCATTTGATCAAGTGATAAATGACAACAGAAAAACCCTTGCAAAAACTGGAAATTAATATATAAATAACTCTACACTTTACATACTTTTATAGCAATATTTTAATTAAAACAAAAGTTTTTGACGCTGTTTAGAGGTTTGCCTCGGATTAAAAACATAAATTACAAATTAAAAAAAAAAAAGAAAGAAACTGAGCTTGTTTCAAATTTACAACATTCGAAAACTAATGACTTATGCACAGTACATTAAGACCCCACTTAACATTGCCTCAACTAACACTGATTCAATATAACAGGGTCTGCTCAAAACAAAAAAAAAAAAATGCTCAAAATTTGCGCTGACTCAAATTATCACGGCATTTCATTGATTTGTATATAATAAAATTATTTATGAACATGAACCAATGAGCAAAAGGTGGAAATTCATCGTAGCCTGTATTTTCCTTAAATCTATGTTTGTTTTGTGCAATTTTGGAAAAAAATATATCATTGTGGATGCCATAGGCAATATCAACTTTGCTTAGCAAGAATTAACTGATAAATGCATGAATGAAGTGTGGTAGAAGTTATGGCTGAAGGTATCCAAGAATTCTCAACGGAAGAGCCTATTGCTGTATTGCTAGGTTGACCAAATTTTCAACCTAACTGATACAGCAAGACTTAAGAGATGTAGACAAGCAGGATATTGAGGAGTTACTGCAGGTTTCTGGTGAGAGCCCTTACCAATGACGACCTTCAAGAATTCGCAGAACAAGGAATTCATGTAGAACTGGAAAATAGAGATTGTGAAAACAAAGAACACAAAGAATTTCTCTAGATTTCCTTAGTAAAAATTTGGTAACGATAACCAAAATCATTGATCAAATTGTAGCAAATGATCTAGATTTTGAAAGGAGCGCAAAAGCAAGACAAGTCATTTTGGATTCAATCTATTGCTACCAACATTTGCTTGAGGAAAGAAAAAAAAATCGACAAACGAAACTAGACAATTTCATTGCAAAAAAATCAAGAATTTCAGAAGAGCCAGGACCTTCATCACAAAAAATAAACTTTACATTTCTGTGTGCATATGTTTGTATTATTTAGCATATATTATTATGCAAATTAATATAAAAATAACTTAAAATTAAAGTAAAATCTGTTTATTTTTGGTCATGTGTTCCCCTTTCCTATTTACTTTGTTAACATGACCTTGTTTAATGCTAATTTTGTTTAGTGCTTTGTTTGCTAGGAACATATCACCCACGTTAAGCGTTTCAAAATTTCAAAGTTTGACAAACAAATAATTTACGTCTTAAAATGAAAACATAAATTAAAAATAAAATAAATTACAGATGTTATTAACCAACATTAAATCTAGCCTATGTCATTCTCTTGCCTCATCAAGTTATCAAGTAGAGACTACCAAGTCTTAGATAGCAATTCCTTCTCCTTGAAATTAATGCATACATCCTTCTAGAAGCTTGGAAAATTTCACTTTTCATTGATTTTAACATGTTGATGTCAAACACCTTTTTTAATAATTTAGCCTGGTCCCAACATGCTGACACTCCCTGCCCACTAGCAAATTGGGCAAGTGCTGTGGCTAGATTACTTGTACAATGTATTTGTTTTAATTACAGATTAATTTCATTATTAATTGCATAATTACTATAGCATGTTGGGATCAGACTAAATTATGCATACAATCCTGCCTCAAGAAATTAAACCAGTGAATAATAAGCTGGAACAATCCTAATAATTACTTTTTGCCGATTTTGCTTCCTCCTCTAGTTTGTTGCAGTTAGATTCTGATCTCTGTTTTATTTTTTCATAGTGTTTCTATTGACTGTGTTAAGACCAAATTATGTTATACAGTATAGTAATAATGGAAAGGCAGTTAAAAAATTATTTGTCAAAAACAATTGCTATCCAAAGAAAAGCATCCAAGATAAAAATATTGTGCCAAGTGAAAATTATAACACCTGAAAAAAGCTGGCCTGATGTGCAAATGCATCAATTTTAAGGATGGTAATGCGATATCGTATGCCTGGTGGTAGTTATATGAGGACCATGGCAGTGCTAACGATTAAATAACTCATATTATTTACGGTTATGCGGGATCCTCAAATAATAGGTACATATGGATGGCCTTATATTTATATATTGAATTTGCATAAATACCACCGTTAGGTATAATTTTTTTATTTATATTCCAAATTTTTAAATTTTAGTATACCAATGAAAAATATTATTTTTCTGTAGAAAAATAAGAAAAATATTATATAAAATATGATGGTTAAATATAAAAATATTTTAGGTATTGGCATCCTGTTCTGTTGATCGTAGCATTAGGATATGGGATATGCGTTCAAATCCATCAGAAGCATGTATATTGACAACAGAAAATGCACATGATAATGATGTTAATGTTATCAGTTGGAATCGTCTTGAACCTTTTATATTATCAGGTGGAGACGATGGTGCAATTAAAGTTTGGGATTTAAGACAATTTCAGGTATTTGCTAAATATTAACAATTTTCTATGAACTTCATAATTTATTTTGTTTTTTCTGNTTTAATGCATTTAAAAAACGTTCAATTCTAAGCATTCTGTTTTTGGAATACAATTTGTTTAAGAACCTGAAGCAGATCTTGGGTAAGGTCAAAAGCATTAGTTTGATATTGTATCAAATGCTATGTTACTGGAATTAAAGGTTTAGTAATGGTGTTCATTGGTACCAGTAATTAAACTAGAAGAAATGTTACCTGAAATGAAAGTCAAATTTTTTCTTGGGAGTTGCCAACCTTATCTTCACCAAAGAGGGCTTGGCACTTTAAAGCCGTACCATAAACTTTTTATTATTGTCTCTGCACTTCCTGTTCTTGCTTAAACAACATAGTGACATAGTGGAGCTTTCAAGAACAAATTTCAAAGATATTTGGGTTGCAGTTTGAAATAATTGTAGATCTATAAATTCCTTCTGTCATCCATCTGTTTCCTTATTCTCAAGAACAGATATAGATGAAATCCAAGACCAGATATGGAAACCTTATGGGTAGGAGGAACCGATTAACTATATGTGAACTTCTGATGCAAACCAGAAGTTACATTATTTCAATTTTTTTCCTAAAAAAAGTTAGACAGACAACTAAATTCTAAGATGAAAAGTATAATGTACAGGAGCAAGCCACTACTAATTTGAGGAGGAGAACATATATTTAAAAAAAATTAAAAATATGATTAAAAATTACAGCTGTGATGATGTCATAATAAATAATAGCTTGTCTTTGTTTTAAAATTTAATGGTGATTAACGTTTTAAGTTTGCTTCTAGTCTGAGGACTTATCACATCTTTTGAAATTTTTCCACTTGGACAACAAGAGACCTTTTTGTGGTTTTTCTATTTTATTAAATATGCATTTTGGTTGCATATCAGTTTAAAGCAGATGCTTTTCAGATTACAAGTTCTTTTACAAGTTCACTGAAAACTATACATTAAATATACATTATTATTATTTTTTAATTACATTCTTGCTTTTATTGGTTTTATCTGAGACAGTTTCTAAAAATATATTAGATCTTTGGATGTTTTAATTTTCTAAAAGGGAATTTCTAATTTTAGAAACTCATTTTCTTTTTTCTTTTAACAGATTTTATTTTATAAAAGACTAGAATTTCTCATTTTCCCCTTAAAATGATCTAGAGATCCTATTATCTTTTATTAGTAAAGTACAAGTTTTATCTTTACATGTATATTCTGAGCTACTACAATGTTTATACAAGTTATTATATATGTTCATTGTTTTACTCATACATTGAAAGCTTGCCAGATGACTGAACAGTACAGACTGTCACCAAGAAGGATCCAGGATCAAATCCCAGTCAAGATTCCTGCATAAAATTTTCCACAAAGAACCGCCTGTGTTCAACACCCAGGCTGCTCCAGTGGCTAAACAGATTCAATCCCTAAACAGTGGTAATTGGCTTGAGTTTGCACTTGTGCCGACAGGCTGACCGGTGCATTTTATGGGCTTTGTGTCAATAACATTCGAATAGGGACTGCTTTCCCTTAAAACACTGCCCTGAAGGCACATTTCCTTGATTGCAGATCATGTTGTGTGCCAGTATATAAAGCCAATCAATCGATACATTAACACATTGAAAAAAATATTTGCTTTTTCAGTGGTTCATAAGCTACTCAGTTTTAATTTTTTTTGCATAATTTCAATTTGCATAGCATATAAGTTATTTAAAACAAATATTAATATAACCTATATAATACAAAGTTTAAGATATCTTTTTACAAATGCAAAGTCAGTCGAGTAGTGCATCTTGTTTCGTAATTTTTTTGCATAATAGCACAAATATACCTAGCCTGGTGTGCATTATATAGAGAATACAGCTTTCTAGGCTATGTTTTGGAATACAATTTGTTTAAGAACCTGAAGCAGATCTTGGGTAAGGTCAAAAGCATTAGTTTGATATTGTATCAAATGCTATGTTACTGGAATTAAAGGTTTAGTATTAAAGGTAGAATTTACTTCTGATCTTGATTGTTTGTTGTTTGCTTTCTAACTTTAGTCAATCACAGATTTAACATTGGTGTTTCTTTTTTAGTGTTTTATTACAATGTTTAATTTGTATCATTTTATACAGTGTTCATTTTATTAATCATTGCATTTTTGAGATTCAAAATATTCATGAATCAATGAATTATAATATGGAATCAAAATACAGTCATACCCCGAACTTACGCGATAGGTGGGACCGAGCAATAACCGCGTAAGTCAAATTCACGTAAGTCGGGGTATAATCTCACAATTCGTGTAAAATCTAAGTCGGATGTATGTAAGCTAATAAATGTTCTCGTTAATCTTATCTCTTCTTTTGATTCGTTCACGGTTACAAGAAATCACCACATAGAGTCTCTGAAGACTCTGTAGATATAACAAACACAGAAATAAATAACACAAAATAAATTGTAGCTATGTGTCAATTCCGCACGACACGTCCAAACATGTAAGCTGAACAATAGTGTGGGGGGAATGAGTAATCAAGAGTTGCGTGGTGCTCAAACAAAAGACGAATCTACGTGATTTGAAAATCGTGTAACTCTGGGTTCACATAAGTCGGGGTAGCGTAAGTCGAGGTATTACTGTATTCATTTAATTAAATTATAAAAGCTATTTTCTGAAAGTATAGAGCATGTTGCACAAGATATGCATAAAATTTTGGTATAAATTGGCCTTTATAGGTGAATATATTTTTATATCTAAATTTATTGAAGTGTCCATTTTCTAAGAAATTTCTTTACATACTAATGTATTTAAAAGTATTTTTCGTACTTTACATTTTACCAACAGTAAAATTCAGATTGAAGTGTCTTTGGTGTCATTTTTTAAAAATTATTAATAGTATTTTATGTTTATTATCAATCATTTTTTTTTACTTCTGATCTTGATTGTTTGTTGTTTGCTTTCTAACTTTAGTCAATCACAGATTTAACATTGGTGTTTGTTTTTTAGTGTTTTATTACAATGTTTAATTTGTATCATTTTATACAGTGTTCATTTTATTAATCATTGCATTTTTGAGATTCAAAATNAATTTACATATAATTAAAATGAAGAATTATAACTATAATATTAAGACAATATATTTGAAATAGATTCTTGAAATTCTAAAATACATAAAAACAATTGCATAATTTCAGAATTAGCAATATTTTGAATTGTCAGATTTGTTAAAAGAATTTAATGAAATTAAGATATAATCAAATTAGTACTAACATTCCACTAGGAATAAGTATTTTTGAGAAATGATATTGTTATATTCTGAATGCAATTGATTAAAATATACAGTATATTTTGTTAGGTGTATTGGCAACAGGTGATTGTAATAAAAACATTCATTTGTGGAAACCACTAGAAGGTGGGCAGTGGCATGTGGATCAAAGAGCTTATTCAGCACATTCACAATCTGTTGAAGATCTTCAATGGTCTCCTAATGAAGCAAATGTAAGCTTTTTTGAAACTTAAATATTTATATTCACATTTAAAGTATATATATTTTTATTAAGTTAATCAGTAAAAATTGGTTGTGTTTCTTGAATAGTGCTGTTTGTAAATTATTTTCAGTTCATTTGATTATCAGATTATTTTATCTATATATATAATCGAGATGAGTTGATAATAATAATAATCAGTGCAGAGCCCAAACGGTTAGGAGTTGAAAGTTGAAATTTGGTACACAGTTAGGATACGTCACGAGAACGCACACTAAGAAGAGATTTTTCGAAATTCCTCCCCACGGGGGAGAGGGACAAGATTAAGGCTTAACACTTCCATCAACAATGGAAGCGTTAAGTAACAATGGAATTGTTAAGAGAGAGCAACTTGTAGGACGCAGATGCAGTTTTTTTCGTTTTTTCGGAAAATCTAACATATTTTTAGACCCATCTAAAAATTCTCTAATTAGTCTGGAAACAGGGAGGCCCAATTCTGTGAAAACGGGTAAGGTTGACTATAATGTAATAATCTTAATCTTTGCTATCATTACTTTTGCCAGAGCAACTCCAGGCCTACCTGCTAGTATACATACATTTCTTTCATTCTGAGGTGTCAGTTTCACTTATCTGGAATAGAGATGCATCTTAGAGTTGACAACATATAATTACATTTACAGTCAACAAGAATGAGAAATCATTATAAGCAGACTATGTGATTCTTTGTGCACCAACAACATTTTTTAAATATATTGCTCAAGTCACATTAGTTAAATGAACTTTATTGGTAATGAGTGTTTAATTAAAAATCTTTTTTAACATGTCTTTAAGGCAATGTTATGATACAGTATTAAAATGACAAGTTTTTGTTATGCAGAAGATGGAAATAGGGCTGTTCGATGTTACTTATTTCATGACATTTTTGGTTTTTTTTCTAACTTGTTGTTGCCTAACAAAACTTAATAAAATTATTTACAAGTTTTTCTCTCCACAAAAAATATCTTAAAGTTAAAATTCAAAATCTTAGTGCACATTAGAATTGAGGAGCTATAGCATTAAAAATATTGTAATTATGAAATTGCTTGTTGAGATAAGTATGAGAATCAAGAAAATAGCATCAAATAATAAAAGCTACTTAATAATGCTTTGTTTGCTATGCTCAGTTTTTATAATGATTTCATAAATATTGGTCTCACATTAATGCATTCATGAAGGGTGAGCAAAGAAATTTTTATGTAGGAAATTTTGCTTGGATATGAAAATTTATTCTATGCATTTATTTGTATTTAATACCAGTATTGAATTATTTCGATTGTTGATTGTTTTAGTAATTGATTATCTTAGTAACTCAAGTCATTGAAATGATTAAAAATGAAATAACTAAATACTTAAATTTTCAGTTTACAACATTCATTTTAAACTTTTAAATATTTTAATTCATATTTTCATTAAAAATAATTTGTTAAATACAGTGGATTCCGCTTAATTGGGACACACTATTTTGGCCCAGTTAAGCGGCTGCCCCTATTAAATGAACTGATAATAAATTCTATAATAAAATATGTAATATGTAGGTAAAAAATAATAATTAGGTACCTATTTTAAAGCTTTATTAAACCAAAATACAGAAAACATTTGTAATATAAATTTGGCAGACTCATGATGATATATAACTGATTCGCATAATGCTAGTGTTGCCAAATAATAGTAGTGACATACACAAGGGTTGACTATTTGATCCGTTTCTGATTGAACAATTTTTCCTTTCTTTTTAGTTAGAACATGTTCTAACTAAAAAGGAAGAAAGAAAAGGGTTCATCCAAAAGTCATTTTATTGTCTTCTTTTGAGCACAGTTTCCTTCACTTGGAGATGGGCCACTTTAGTGGGTGTGTCTGTAGAATCTGCCAGCTCGATGCTGGTCTCAACAATCAGATGCTGCTGTCTGAATCTAGACGTAATTATGCACACAATACCTTTCAAGGGAACTCTGTCTTCCAACTCAGTCGAGAGACCTTGAAAAATTGTCTGGCTATCTTTGTCCCTTTGCTTCTAAGGGGGATAGTCCAGTCCAATCCAGAGCAGGGTTAGTAACTAGCATTCAGGTCTTCCTCAGATGAAATCCCTGTGCCCCACTATGCTGACCCCCTCCAGAAAAACTGAACTGTCCGAGCAAAAGACAAAATTGCCTTGTCTCTGCCAACCATTAGGCCAGACTGGAGCACATTCTTTTGTGACATTAGTGTGCATAGTGCCTATATATTTTAGGAAGATTACTAAAATATATCAAAAATTGCTAAATTTCTTTTCTGCTACTGTCCCAATTAAGTGATTAAATTATGTATTAATTTATTAGTTTTGTTTCTGTTCTTTGAGTTTTGTCCCAATAAAGCAGCTGCCCCAATTAAGCCAAATCCACTGTATTCATAATTTACATATAATTAAAATGAAGAATTATAACTATTTCAAGTTCATAGGATATATAGTATATATAAATTATTATTACCAGTAACTTTTACCAAAGCATGAATAATTATTCAGAGATGACAACTTTATTAAATTTTGAAATGACAACAGTATATAAATAATGATATTTATATGTATAAGCATCCACTAACCTGGGTTTTTTTTTTTTTTAATTAAAACCTACTACTGGATCTACAAGCAATTCTAATGGATTATTAGGCTATTTTAAGCTAATTTTAATAATTAAATAACCAATAATAAAAGCAATAATTAAATAAAGAATAATTTGACTAGACGTAGGATTAATTGCCTCAAATTATTGTTTATTTAATTGGTTCACAAAATATTGTTTATTTAGTGGCTTTAATATATCTATTTTCTATAGAATATTTTGAAAAATTAGAGTTTTAGATTGCTTTTTAAATTTTAGTATACCAATGAAAAATATTATTTTTCTGTAGAAAAATAAGAAAAATATTATATAAAATATGATGGTTAAATATAAAAATATTTTAGGTATTGGCATCCTGTTCTGTTGATCGTAGCATTAGGATATGGGATATGCGTTCAAATCCATCAGAAGCATGTATATTGACAACAGAAAATGCACATGATAATGATGTTAATGTTATCAGTTGGAATCGTCTTGAACCTTTTATATTATCAGGTGGAGACGATGGTGCAATTAAAGTTTGGGATTTAAGACAATTTCAGGTATTTGCTAAATATTAACAATTTTCTATGAACTTCATAATTTATTTTGTTTTTTCTGCAATATAAGACTAAAGATATGAAATAGCATTCTGATTTTAAGTTTCAATCAAATTCTTTATATTAATCAAAATTCTTGAATTATTAAAATAATTTTTGTTATAAATTTATAATATAAATCATTGTTTCAAGTTACCAATAATTTAACATTTTAAAAAAATGTCAAATGCTTTACTGTTGAATTAACAATTTATATGCTATTCTAAAAAAGTTATACAGACTTTATAGCCTTAATATCAAGAAATGATATTGGATAAACAAATATTATAGTTAATCTAATGTCTGGCTTTTTGTAGTCTTAAATGTTCAATATATTCACTAGAACATTAATGCAATGTTTATAATGACACACAACATTCTTTTGTTATTTAGCATAATTCTAACATATCATATATATAATAATAATAATAACTCTCCCGTGGTCACGACCTGGTCGTGGTGGGAGAGCCCAGTAATTTTACTGAACCATAGAGCAACGCAGGCTGGAGCATAAGCTCCTGGTAGGGACACTCATGCCACTAAGGTCTATGGGGAGAAATGAAGCTAAGAGTAACCACACCCACATTCTGTGGAGATAATTATTATGGTAATAACCAGATCAAAGTGTGATACCAGCTCGGACGTCGCCCGGGTTAACAAGGTCCGCGTTCGTGGGTTAGGCAGAGGCTCACGTTCGAAAAATAGGCCACAGTCTCCCTTGGTTACCGGTGGCGAAAGCAGCACCGGCCCAAGCATGGCTACTGCAATGCCCTCAACAGATGTGAGGGAATCAACCTAGCCTTGGTGTTTCTGTGGCAATGCATCCACAGACCACAAAGGCTGTAAAACCACGCCAACGGATGAAATGGACAACAGAAATGAACGAGTTTATCATCCATACATACTACACCATCACAAGACTCGAAACAAACATGACAGCATACAGACAACTACTACACCATAGATTCACACAACAATATCCTCACCTTACTGTCACTGAACAAAGGGTTGTCGATCAAAAAAGAACAATTATACACAACAACCTTATCCCACAAACAACACTTGAACTTATCAAACAACAGGTTGCTAATCAAATACATCAACAGACAGAAACATTTAACATTAATGAAGATCACGTAACCGGTCAGGATAATACAGCAACAAGCATTGATAATAGTACACATACAACAACTACGATTAATGATACTACAGACACTTCCTCATCCATCACTGATAACATAGATATAGATTTAGTTAATACACTCTCACTTATATTTCAGGAAACACTAATATACAATTTGGTTACTATTGAACTATTGTATTTGTCAACATATAAGATACATATTTTTCTCCAAAAATCTGTCTCAAAACCAGAACACATCTTATATACCAATGGTTGCAAATTATAACTTTATTCAAACAGAATATCTTACTTTATATTTTTACCATTATTTGCAATTTTTAATGAAATAGGAAATAAATTTGAAATATATAAGAATTAAGATTATAAGTAATTAAAGAAAATGGTTATGATTCTAATACAAAAGAGATTTCAGATAATTTGCCTAGCTCTGAAGATAAGAATATAAATTAAAATTGTTATTGTAATCTTACATTTTTTCTTTGATACAAAATTGTTTTACACAAAAAATTCACTCAATCAAAATTCAATCAATATATGATAAGATATAATTATTTTCAATAAAATAAAAATTTTTCCTAACAAATGCTTCTGAAAAATGACTTATCTTATATGCCAGCAAATATGGTAATATAATAAATCCCAATAAATAAGTCTAAATCTACATGATATAATATCTATAATAAATGCTGATAAAGAATCATTTACATACAGAACTATTTTTCAGCCAATGTGTCATACAAAGAGATAGCATTAGAAGTATCTGTAGCCAGTACATATAAGGTATGGCTATTAAATAACGAGACTGACGCTGCTACAGAAGAAGTGCACGAAACACCAGTGATCAACAGCTGTTTATTGTGAAGCCTTCTCTTTTGAATGCAGTATCTCTCACTTCTGTAAACAAATCCATATAGCCGTAGCCTTTGTTTGCATTAGAGTTGTTTTTTGTTTTGCTGGAAAAATGTTAAGTGCAACAATAGAGCAACAAATTGTTGTAAAATTTCATATAAAACTTGGAAAAACCGCTACTGAAACTGAGCCAAAAAAGATTGAATGAGCAAATCAAAATTCAAAGCAATGATGATTGTTTTTTTTTCAATATTTATGGGATTGTGTACTTTCACTGGGTTCCTGAAGATCAAACTATTAATCAACATTACTATCTTCACATTCTTGCTGAACTTTGTAAAAGAATAAGAAAAAAACGACCCGAATTGTGGAAGGACAACTCATGGATTCTCCACCAAGACAATGCACCAACTCATTCTGCATTGTCTGTCAAGAGGTTTCTAGCCAAGTACAGCATCCCAGTGTTAGTCCATCTGTATTATTCACCAGATCTTGTGCCATGCGACTTCTATCTGTTTCCTAAGGTAAAATCTGCATTAAAAGGAACAAGATTTGAGTCCATTGAAGCTGTGAAAGAGAAAGCGGCACGTGTCCTGAAGGAGCTGACAGAAGACTTCAGCACTGTTTCAAACAATGGAAGATTCGCATGGAGCATTGTAGGGATAGAGGAGAGGTGTATATTGAAGGTGATAATAAGTAAATATGTATGAAATCAAAATAAAATGTTTTACAGCATCAGTTTTGTTATTTAATAACCACACCTTGTAGTATTGGCAGTTGCTCAGTAAAAACAATGTTCACTCACTGTATACAAGGTCTGTTCATAAAATAAGCGAACTTTATTTTTTTAATTTTTATTCTGCAATTTACAGATTATTGGTCCTTATCTCCTTCAAAGTACTCCCCCCATTCACACACTTATCCTAATGGTGTTTCCACTTTGCAAAGCAGTCCTAGTAAACTTGTTTAGGACTGTCCTTCAATGCTTGTGACAAACTTGTTTTAATGTCATCAGTTGTATCAAAACAGCATCCTTTCAGCACTGATTTTAAATTTGGAAACAAGAAAAAAAATCACAAGGATTCTGGTGAGTAGGGAAGCTGGGGAGAACAGTCGTTTCATTTTTGGCACAAAACTGATGAGTTGACAAGGCTGAGTGAGCAGGCGCATTGTCATGGTGAAGGAACAATGAGTTGTCTTGTCATAACTCTGGTCTCTTTTTGAGAATTTTTTCTGCAATTGTTTCAAAACATCTGCATAGTACTGATGATTGACTGATCTTCACACAAAAATTCAAAGTGCACAACTCTGATTTTCTGAACATGAGTGTCATCAATTGAGGTCAAAGGCTTTCCTGATGGAAGGTCATCTTCAACTAATTGACAACCACTTTTGAATCAAGTAAACCATTCATAATACTGCATACAACCTACAGCATCACCTCCATAAGCTTGGTTCAAAAGTTGAAATGTTTCCGTAAAAGTTTTCCCCAGTTTCATGCAAAACTTCACATTGCATCATTGCTCCCGTAAGTCACACTTTGCAAAAATTGCCACAAACACTAAAATACCTTTCACTCAAAAAACAATAACATGGGAATGAAATGAGATATCAACAATCCTTGAAAGCAGCTTACTCGGTAGGTTATCACTAACCTAGTATTGTCAACTTCATGACACTAGGACATTCCATTTTTGCCCAATTTAAAAAGTTTGGTTATTTTCTGAACAGATCTCATACTGTAAGTGTACTAGCATTAATTTTTTAGAAAAAAAGCAATGTTTACATATACAGTATTATTTACAAAAACATGTATTTACTTGTTTTGTACAGTATCTGCTATAGGATGAAGTTGCATGGTCAATTCACCTAATTTACTGAAAGCAGCTCCAGCAGCAGTAAATATTTCTCCCACCTATAAATATATTTATCAAATAAGTTTACATATTAACATATTTAATTTTATATTCTATAATAAAATTTAAAACACAACATATTTAATGAAAATTAAAAAGGAGTCTGTTTTCTGTTATTGCTGATACTACATATGGCATTGTAAAAAATTTAACTAAAACTTATGAAATTCAAGTACAGTATTATTACTACTATAATCATAACAATAATAATATACCCAAAAGATTAGTTTATTAATTAATTAATTAACATTAGTTAATTAACTATTGTTAGTTAATCCAGCATTAGTATTTGAAAATGTTGAGAGAAAAAGTTTTTGACAAATGAAATATAGAATGTTTATAAATATAACTTTTTTCTATGTCTTTTATAAATATAACAGAAACTCTCCAGACATTAACCAACTTTAAAAGCTTTCTTGAGCAGATGATTGTGAGATAAGAAAATTATGGACATTTTCTCTTCCATCAGTAAAAAATCTGTACTAAGTCAAGAGATATTCAAGATTTTAAATGAATAATTAACAATGCAAGAAAAGATAAATACATTTGGGGCCTGATATAACACAGGTTTCAGAGTCTAAAGTGTCAATCTGAATTGTATTGAATTAACATATAAGGTGATCATAAAATAAGTTTGCCTGCTTAGAGCAGCCTACAGACAAAACTATACTTATCAGATTTACATAGTTTTGGTGTGTTATTAAAGCCATGGGAAGTTTATGGGGAAAAATTTTAATTTCAAAAGATGCAAAAGAAGTTTCAAAATAGATGCTTTAAGCTGAAATAAGATGCATAAAAATAGTTAAATATCTTTATTAGTTGATAAATTATAAAATAACACATTTGCCTTATCCTCCTCCACTTTCTGACACCACTTGAAACTGCACAATAGGGTGCTCGATCATTGATCACAAAGTCTTTTATAAAATGTTAAGGATTTGCCATGATATGCTTTATTTTAAATCCAATGTTTTTGTCTTCCTCATAGACAACAACTTTTAAATGATCTGTAATTAAAAATCACTTGTGTTTAGATCAGGTGAACAAGGTGACCAACTTGTAGAGAAGTGACAGCTGATAATTTGATCTTCAAAAAGTATCTTCCTTAGCAGTCTTCTTCTCAAACATCTTTAATCGGGTTTGCAATGTGTGGGAGAGCACCATTCGGTATAAAAATAGTCAATCCAAAACACTGTTGCTGTTGAATTGCATGATAACTTGGTAGCAATACATATTAATTGCTAGTAATCAAACCTCTGGATTCAAATTTTTCAAAAAAATATAAATAAATAAAACAATCTAAGGATGAATGAAGACGTGAACTTGAACACCATTTTGGGAATGCAGCTGCTTTTGTCAGTTTTGTAAGGATGTTCTTAGTCCATATTCCTCAATATGTCTTATAGATGTTGACAGCATCATACAGATGAAAATAGGTCTCATCTGTCTAAAGCAGGGGTGGGCACAACCCATGGCTCTCAAAATATTAATAAATATATCAATTTCCCACCTTAATGAAGTATGCTGCAAAAATTCTATTGCTATTTTCTAGAATTTATTGTATGCAAACAGTTTTTTTCTGCAATAAATTTAGTAAAAAGTAAAACAAGAAATCAGCTAACAGACTCACAGCAAAACTAATTGAAAACCAGCAGTGACAAATATTCAACCAAAATATATTACATTCATACCAGTTCCAGAAGTCAAATTAAGTATACTTATGTTAATTTATAATCATACATGAATAAATAATTGTGATTTACCTGCATTTTTTTTTTATCTCTTGTATTTGGCCCACATCAGTTCAAAAGTTTTAAATGTGACCCTTAAATAGAAAAAGGTTGTTCAACCCTGGTTTAGAATGATCTAAGATAAACGATTGGCCATGGAGTAATCATTTCCCACCTCAGTCCAAGCTAAGAACTGCAATGCAAATGTCTGTCTGGTATCCCGATCAGAAGGCAAAGTTGTTGAATGAGACATTTAGTGCATAGTGTTTTGCATGATGATGTGAATTGTGAAGAATGACTTACATAATGATTTTACAAAACAATGATCACTACACTACTAGATATGTAAACATTTGGCATGCTGTCCTTAACCAATGATGTTGCTACATCCTCTATCAGCTTATGAACAGTTTCCAATGCCTTCTAGGTTTAACATTCAATAAATCAGTTTCTATATATTTGAAAATCATTTTTTTGAAACTCAGTTGCAGAAATCAGACCTTTCCATATTTCCTTCAATGATCTTAATTACTTTAATGTAGCAATAGCAAAACTCTTCCAATATAATAATGTAATAGTCTTTGCAAGTTTTATCATTGTTTAAAGTGCTGATTTTCCTCTGGTGACAACTTTTAGAACTATATTTTTTCCCCATAAACTTACTTTCCATAGTTTCAATAATACACTGAAAATTTAAAACCTGATAAATAGTTTCAACTGTAGACTGCTTTAAACAAGCAAACTTAACTTATGGATATCTTGTATTTTTACTAGAGATGGATGAATATAACTTTTCTCAAATTCTACATTGCTTTACTTCAGCACAATGAATACATTATATATGTTTTGAATTTATAGTCTTATCTATGGATATTTTAGTATTTAAGTTTAAAGTTTAAAATATAAGTATATAAATTCTTTTATTAGTACAAATAGAAACATCGTAAACCAGATAGTTATGTATTAAAGCCAAACAATTGCTGAATTATATCGTGTTATATTACTACTACAATTTTATTAAGTGATACTAATAATAGTAGTAAGATAGTTGGATATAATTGGGCAATCATTTAGCTTACTTTATTAGAGTCATACAATTCTAAACTAGAAATCTATATTCTTAAAACTCATAATACGACGTTGGAAGGACACAAATCAACCTATATATAGTGTATAGTGTGAAAGTATAACCACGAAACAAATAATGAAATTCATTTACAATATTTATAACTTACTCCAAAACTTTATATCTTTAATTTCTCCTCTGGAGCTTTATTTTTTTATAGGAATTATTGATAAATATAATTATAAATCATTTTTTAATACACTATACACAATTGGTATTTCTTGTTAGTTACTGTTGGCATATGAAATTAAATAATTTTCATTCTGTAAATATTTTCTCAGAAACTGATAAATTAAAATCAAGAAAATATTGATGTTTATGAGATAATATAAAATGTTAAAAGTATGTAAAAGATAAACACATTTATTTTCAATTTTTCAAACAATTATTTTAATGACCACATACATATTTTAACACTTAAAAATGTTCACTTATAAAAACAGAGTATAAGATATGATTTATTGTATTTTTTATATAATAAAAATTCCTAAATTGTCTTGTTTTCTTTATTGTCTAAATGTTAAACATGTCTATCAATAAAGCAAGAAAAATAATATAAAATATTTTTAATGTCTTAACATAACATTCAGTTACAAAATTTTACAAATAAATAATAGATGAAAAGAATTTATCATCTCTACTATTACATTAAGTTTATACAATAAATGAAACAATTATTTCAATATTCTACATATTTTTGTATATGACAATTTAGTAAAATAAACTACAATCATCATATGATGCGTAACATAAAATATACACTTAAAATAATTTTATACAATATTCAATAAATAAATTACATTTATGATTCATATTACAATTCATAAAATATGACATCAATGTCCAATAGCAAATTCACTTTATTCATTGAAATTTTAAATTTTTACTTGTAAACATTGGTAAATTTGCATTTTTAAAAATTAATTATTTACATGAGATATTTCAATATTCAGGAATAACAAGTTTAAATGTGTATAAATATAATAAATAATTTTATTTCATAGTAACATCATTTGAACATTATGATGCAAATTCATATTCATTTATTAAAGATAATATATCAACCTGAACTTTAGCTCTAACATCTGCAGGAAGTCTCCTTAAACGATTAGTAATTTGCATGCCAAAATAAAAACAATCATCACGTTCATCTGAAAATTCTTCAAGCCAACGACAAGATGCTTTAACAATCTTTAATAATTCATTTTTATATTCAACACTTTTTCGTTTTCTAGTTGTGGCTAGATATCAAAAAAATAAATGAATATAAAAATTATCAAATAATTAAATAAGTGCTATGTTAAGACAATGTTTTAAAATCTAATTGGCAATTACCTTTAGAACTATGATCAACAGGAGAACAAGCATCACTCCTAGAAACACTAGATGATAATGATGTGTCATTTAATCTTTCACAATTAGGGATTGAATTACAGAAGTTAAAATTCCTATCCATTGTAACTGGCATTTCATTGATTACTTGAGTTGAATACTCTGGGTTTATTGATACATCCACATTATCCACAGAACTGTTTTCTTCCAACATCACTGTAAAAGTAAATATTTTAAAAACTTTTTCTATGCAAGATACTGATTTGATAATAAAGAGAAAACTTTACTTATTGAAGCTGTTTGATGGGATTCATTTGTTCGTATTGATGGAAAAGCACTAAAGTTTCTAGAAGTATTAAAAAAAGGTATAAAATAAATGAATGCTCAAAAGTCAGTTGTATATATTTCTTATTCTATATTTTGTACAGCATGTTAATTGCATTTTTTGTATTGTATTTGTTATATTGAATTACGTATTTTTATATATTTATAAATAAATAAAGACCTAAACAAATATATATGAAAACTGTTCAAGCCAAAATAATAACCATCATAAGAATAAAGTTAAAAAATGGATGCTTAACTGAAAAAATAATAGCATTTTTTTCAAAAATTCAAGCAATATACAGTATGTGTTTTGAAAAATGCTTTAAAAATTAATATTTTAAAATAAATAAAATATAATTCCTAGTTTAAAAATATAGAAATATTCAAATTCAGAAAAGTTAATTTAATATATAAATAAATGCATTATGTATTTTTGCTTTTGAATATGAAGAAAATGTTTCTATTAAATATTTCATTATAAGATGTGAATGTGATAGATATGTAAACATCCAAAGTGGACTAAGACATACCATATGTAAAATGTTTTACTTAAAACTAAAAAAGTTATCAGTTTTCAGAATTTAAAACTTATAAATTAATAAAAAGTTATCAGAATTTTTTCAAAGGTTCAACAAATTTAAGTCTTTGAAGTCTTTTAGAAGAAAAAAAAAAGTAAAACTATTATTGATATTTAGAAATGAATATGAGTTGTACATATTGTCAAATGTATAAAATAATAAATTGATAGATAAAAATAATAATGAAATGAAAAATGGATGGGAGAAGATGAAAAAACAGATAGAAAAATGAAGTAGAGAAAGTAATTAGAATACAATAAATAAGAACTGCGGCAAAAAGAAAAGCATGAAGAAACCATTCAACAATGATTGAAAACAGTACTTAGATTAATTAATTTCATAAACTGAATAAACTGTACTTAAAAATATATTTTTAAAATAATCTATGCTGATAAATATTTAAATTTATACTTTATTTTAAATGAACACATTTTAAAGTTGTTTGTTTCAATTTCAAAAATTATAGAATAATTTACTTCATAATACTAGTCAAGGAGGAAAGGTAAAACTTTTATAGAAACTACATAAAATACATTTATAAAAACCATAAATTATGCATCAGAATGCATAAAAAAATCTTTACTTTTATTACTACTTTCTTCTTGCTGTTGAAAAATCAAAATTTTTTCAAAGATTCAACAAATTAAGTCTTTTAGAAAGAAAAAAGAAAACTATTACCAAATTTCATTCTCAAAAAAACAAGGGTATTCAAAAAGTGATTATTATTTGTAAACAGAATGCTATATTTATAATTAACTAATGCAAGCATAAACTTCTCAAGACTTGTTTTGTCAGGTATTCGTGTTTAGCTCCATCAGACTTTATTTTATTCCAAAATAAAAAAAAATTAAAGGATTTTTCTAGAAGTCAAGTAAAACATTTTGTAGTGAAGTGGATAGAATCAAAAAGTGCTGTTTGTTTATTTATTAATTTACAGCAATGCAATACTTGGGCAATCTGCCTAAGGGGGATGCCTTCCAGAAGGTCTTTTTAAGAGTAACTGGCCCCTATTCAGGCGTTACAGATGTGGAAAAAACCCAAGAACTCTACGTGGACAGCCCGTCCGAGCCAGGCACGAACCCACAACCAAACTTCCAGTATTCAGGGAACAAAGACCGCTTGGCCACTGGTGAGTCCCAAAGAGCACTGATTTCTATCAGAATAACTTAGAAGGGTGGTGACACCATATAGAAAAATGTTTTAACTTAAATGGAAGAACATATTTTGAAAAATAAAGAGCTAAATTTAATTTACTATCTTTTTTATTTACATTTTTCAGGAACTTTTTGAATGCTTGCCTCCCCTATACAGTTGACATTTTATTGATATTTTTCAAAAACTTTAATTCTTTTAATTTGCATTCTAAAAGTGGTCATTCTCGAAAATGAGATAAAGCATAAAAAAATTCGAAAAAACACCTTTGAAAAAAAATTCCAACATTAATAAAGAAATTATTTGCAAATGTCAAAAACAAAAAAAAAAAAAAAAAAAAGTTTAATAGCAGATTTCGATATTAATTCTCTTTTTCAGAAGAAAACATATCTCGCCGAGTTTCTTTGTGTTCTTCATTCAAGAGTTCTTGGCGTTCTTCTGTCGTCAGATCCGTTTCAG